GTACACACACACACACACACACACACACACACCAGGGGAGTGGGTGTGTGTGTTTGTTGCCGGTGTTGTTATTTCCGTACTACTGTTGTTTCTATTGCGACGAGTATTATACACGTTTGTGCTATTTCAACGTCGCTTGCTGCTCTATCAACTAATGCCGCAATCGAAGCCAAGAGCCCGGCTATTTGTGGGGCAACTTAACTTCGGCGCGACAGAAGAAGACATTCGTGCCATCTTTGACTTCTACGGGCACGTATTGAGTGTCAACTTGCTCCACGACAAGTCTAAGAATCGTAGTAAGGGCAGTGCATTTGTGGAATACGGCTCAACCAGCGAGGCCGACTGCGCCATCCGCTCCCTTCACAACCGCTACTACATGGAACGTGATAAACCACTGCAGGTGTCGTACTGTGAGCGGTCCGAATTGATTTCGGACTTTGGGTGGCAGCAGGCGCTCCAACTACACCAGGAGAACAGTGCAAATCCTCCCCCGCCTGAGCGGCCCATCTCCCCTCAAGTCAGACGTTAATTTCAATATATATATATATATATAAAGTAAGCAACCCAAGAAAAAGAACGGTAAAACGTTTTTCGTCTTGATTTTGAAACAAGGTCATCTTTTTTTTTTCTTGCAAGTCTATGTACATATACATACATATGTGCATGTGTATTCATATGCGGGCTTGGAGTGAACCTGACAAATGAGACAACCTTTCCCTCCTCTCCTTGGGTGTGCGTGTGTTGTGTAGGTGGGAAACTCCCTTTGCTTCAATTCCCCACACTCCCAATGAAACACCGGCAGCTTGGAAGCCCTTTTTACTTTTTACTTCCTTGAGCGTGTACTCTTGCTCTGCCGCGACGCATTTCAAACGTCGTGAAGCTATGAATACGGCGTATAAGGGAAAACGCCAGTAGTCCCCTGCTTTCTCCTCTAAACAAAGCGGCAACGTTGGTTCAAGTGCCTTCGCTACTTCTCCCACATATCCAACTCTAAATGCTATTCTTCTCTTTTTTTTAAGTTCCTTTTTTTTTTTTTTGTAGACATACCAAGCGGCGTTTGCCACAAGGTGAGTTGACACGGAGCAGGAAAAAGACCACTAGTGTGGTTTTTTATAGTACCAATGGTGGTGGGAAGGGCGCGTCTGTTTGTGGGGCAGCTGAACTTTGAGGCAACTGAAGAGGACGTCTGCGCCCTTTTCGACTTCTACGGGCAAGTGCTTCACGTAAATATACTCCGCGATAGAGCGACCAGTCGTAGCAAGGGCAGGGCATTTGTGGAGTTCGGTTCGACGGTGGAGGCAGACTGTGCGATCAT